GACACTTATGTATGAAGTCAAAGAGAGAAAGTGATAAGTTATCTCTGCAGCAGGGACGTCTTCAGTGGACTCTAGAAGGAAGGAGGGAAGACCCTGACTTGCAGTCAAGGGTCCTGTAAAAATCCAAGTCATTAATACACCTTCCAAAAACTGAACTGTTTTCAAAGGCAAAACATAAATCCTACAGGATTTGGAAATAACACACATGAACAAAGAATATAAAAGTACCAACTGGTTTCCGGTTGGTGACTGGTTTCTACACTACTAACAGGACCGTCTAACTACTATTACTAACCACTAACCCGGTACCATCCTTCATAGGTGGACAGAGAAGGGTAGGCCTGGGCAGCACTGAATGGCATTCTCAGAACTTCTTAACACTGGGCAAGGTTAGACCTGATCCCTATTCATCCAGATTTTTAGTTTTTCCAACAATATTGGCAAGAAATGAGTGATGCAAAGATTCTTAATATTAAAGGGCCTAGCTACAAACCTGCACAGACACCCAGACACACACACACACACACACACACACACACACGCACGCACGCACATGCTGAAAGAGAACAGGAGGGAGGGGAGAGAGAGACGGAGAGAGACAGAGAGAGAGAGAGAGAGGAAGAAGGGAGAGAGAGGGGAGATGGGTACAATGTTAACATTGGGGATAATAAAAAGGGTTTAGATCTAGATAGCAGTGATGGTTATACAACATTGCTGAGTGCCATTAGTGAAACTGGATTACTTCAAGTGGTTAAAATGGCATCATTACTATATACATTTTTCCCGTAATGTTTTTAAAGTGCAAGCACGGGGTTGAAGCTCTCCACAGCCCACCAACTGATCTAAAGATACAGCATCTCTATTAGTGTTTGTCATTCAGGTTAAGAATATTTGTCTCAGGGCTAGAACTGGCTCAACATAACAGCATATACTGCTCTTCCAAGTGACTCAGGTTGAGTTCCCAGCACATACTTTGGGCAGCTCATAGCCATTTGGAACTCCAGTTCCAGGGGATCTGATGCCATCTTTTGGCTTCTACAGGCATCTACACACATGTTATATAAAAACCCACACAGGCATATGAATAAACATAACAAAGGAAATAATTTTCAAGAAGAGTATTTGGCTTAGCCAATTCATCTTATGCTTCTTCAAATATCATCAACAGCATTGATACTTTTAATCCCCAAGGGTAGATATTTTCTATAAATCATAATAAAAAGATTGTACCTATTTGGTAATCCTGAATGGGCATTCTCGTGCCTTGATTTCATTATAAGTTTATTTGTCAATATTAGTTTTGTGTAAGCCCCTTTACTAACTTGAGACTACAAAATTCCTTTCTTACATAACTGCATCCTGCCACATCTGAAAATACTATAAAACTGTCATGTGATTTTCTCATATGATTTTCCTCACTTTATAATGCTTAAAACCATGGAAGTTCATCAAACCACAGGAGGAAAAAAACCCTCAGAAAAGTTAAAATTTTTCTGCTACCCCCTGTCTCCACCACCGTGACCTCTACTCCAAAATTCAACCATGTAATCAAAGGAGATGTGACTGAGTTCAGGCTTCACACAGGCAGCGCTAGAGTCTATGAGTCTGTGAGTGACATCAGTCCTGCAGCATGTCATTTCCGATGATGCTTTATGGAAAAATATACCTACGTTTGTTAAAATGAGGTTAAGGGGCAGACCTAGCCCTTCACTAAACTGGAAACAGGAGAGCATGGCTCTAGTCCTCACTGCCTGGAGGATAGGAACTACGGAGTCAGATTATCTAAGCATGTATCAATGAGCTGCCAATCAACTCACAGAGTCAGTGCTGGGAGAGATGAGCAATGGCTTTGGAAAGAGATGAACCAAAAAGGTAGGGCTGAGGGGAAAACGCAGATTTGGGGACCATCTTCCCGCAACTAAGGACCGAGAGACACAGGCCAGCAGGTCCAGTTCCCTTCTGACCAACTCTGCTAGGACTCTCGGGAAGGTTTATAGATGCTGTGCCATCCTCGGTGTGGGAATGAAGTGTAAAAGCCCGGGGCGTGTGACCTCTCCCCTTAGTGAAGAAAGACCAGCAAAGGAAAGGGTGGGGGCTGTCGCTCAGGCGGCTTTTAGGGAGAAGGCATAGTCCATGCAAAAGTACTGTGTGTGAGTGCACCGTGAGTGGTGAGAGTGTGTGAGTGTGTGTACATCACTTGTGCATCCTTGAGTAGCACACAGACTCTAGTAATGAAGGGCAGTGCGTGACAAAGCTAGAGAAGCAAAGCCCTCACGACAAGCCTTCGAAGGCACATTCTACCCCTGCTTAGAAGAGAAACAACACCACTTCTTCCACGTCTGCTGTGCGTCCCACGCTGGGACTGGCTGCACGCGTGCCTCCCAGCACTGAGCATCTCCACGGGCTCCACAGTTATTCACATTCACCTTTAGAACGCCCTGCATTCTCTTTCCAACTAGGCTTAAGTGCTTTGACAGCAAGAACCAAATATTTCTATTATAGCTCCAATGTTTAATAATTCTTGGCACGTTTGTTATTTTAGGAAACATTTATTAGCCATGCTGGGCGCTGTTCTGTAGTTCAAATTAAATAAACAAGGTCCTCCTCTCTCAGGGCACGTGAAAGCAACCCAAGGTAGATGTTCAGTATGTAATCCATGCTCCCTTCTGCCAATTAAGACCAGTAGCGAGAGCTTGAACTACACTATTAGGTGACTTTATTTATAAATACCTTTATAGGGCTCAGCAGGGAAAGTGTTTCTCATGCAAGAATGAGAACATCTATAACCCCAACACTGAGGAGAGGGCATGGCAGGTCTCGAGGGCTCACTGGCCAGCCAGTCTAGCTGAGACCGCAAGCTCAGGGTCCAGTGAAAGACCATGTGGCAAGAACTAAGAAAGAGAATCAATTAGAGAAGATGCCCTGATGTCTGCCTCTGGTTTCCATGTGTTCCTGCACACACACACACACACACACTACCAGAGTGAGGAGGGAGCTTTTGAAAAAATGATACTCAAGCATATCTTTACATATATAAATGCTTCTGTGCCAATCTTACAAATTTACTTCTTTCAGTAGAAAACCGAGGCTGTCACAAATATATCAAAAGCAAATGAAATTTCTATGAAATACTGTTCAGAATATTCCATTGTCCTTCAGTTGTGAAAATAATGGCATTCGCTTAGTCTCCAAATGAGAAAGAAAAAACAACTCAGCCTCAAATATTTAAGCGTAGTGCTGCACACTTGCAATCCTAGCACCAGAGAGCTAAAGAAGGAAGAATGAAAATTCCAGACCAGTCTGGGCTATGCAGCAAGAACCCTGCCCCGATAAACAAAAAAGACAGTTGTGTTCCATTAGAACATTGGGGTCCATCAATGTTTGAAGTTCAGTTGCTTAGAATTATATAATAGAGGAAATAACAATTGGAAGGTTAGTTTATTGTGATAGATTTTAAAGAATTGCACACAAAACTCTTATCACAGAGTGGCAATTTCAATCCAACCACTTCGAGATGGTTTTTATTTGTTTATCTGTCTGTTTCTGCTTGCCTGCATGCCTGTCTGTCTGACTGTCTGAGATAAGGCCTTGCTATTTATTTAGCCCAGGCTATCCTTGAACCTGATGTGTAGCCCAGGTTAGCCATGAATTTGTTCTCCTCCTGCCTCTGCCTCCAGAGTGCTCAGACTACAGTCATAGCAGCTTCCAAACAGCCTTGTGAGTGCTTCTCAAAGAGGGATCCCCGCAGCAAGGACAAGTGCCCAGGACAGCAAGGGTAGGAGAAGAGTCCCAGAAGTAGTGAGAAATGCAGACTCCTTGCCCCACCCCCATCTGCCTGAAGCAGAAGCCCTCTGGGCCATTCTGATGCACACTGAGATTCAAGAGTGTTCTAAGATCAAGTCGAAAAGATCCTTAGCAAAACTTTCCTGTCTTGTTGATCGGTAGGGCAGAAGGGGGTTTGGGAGAGCCCATGGAGCAAGGCTTTTGTGTGTTGGACGGATGTGGAAACTAAACCCAGAGACTGTCAAGAGTGACCAGAGCCTTAAGCAAAAACATGGTCTAGCATAAAAGTGAGGGTCCATTGCTTTGCATACCCGAAATCAAAGTTCACTTTTTTTTTAACATTTACTCGTTTATTTTGTGTATGGGTGCCCACATCTATGCCTTGGCACGTGTGTAAAAGTCAGAGGACAACTTGTGAAAGCCAGTTCCCTTCTTCTGTGGGTCCCAGGTACTGAGTTTAGCTCATCAAGTTTGGCAGCTAACAGGCATCTTTACCCACTGAGCCATCTCTTCCAAAATGTCTATGCAAAAAAAAGCCACTCCTATTTTTAACAGATCCAGATGAAGTTATAGAACTAACCATATCTAAAGGATAAGCCACAAATATTTGAAGATAAGAGAAACAGACAGACAGGCAGGCAAATAGACAGACAGAGAGCAGCAACGCCTTATTTCGGTAAGTCAATCAAGAACTCAGAAGCCAAAAGTATCAGGCATGATATCAGATTTAAACCCAAGCAGGCTCCCCCCATGCCCTGCCTAGTCAGAAACTAAGAATATTCCTTTACCTTGTTCAAAAAGCTTTTTAAAAAGGCTAATTAAAATTGAAAAGATAATCTACCTTTTTCCGTGTCAGCTGTCAGCCCAGGCTGATGATCAAAACCAGAAGCAGAAAGCCACTTGCTAGCTCTGTGGTTTGGGGAAAGACCCCTCATCTCTCTGGGCCTTTTCATTCTGCTGTGTATGGCGTCACATGTAAACTTCTGCATGCCATGTAAATACTTTATAAATGTTGGTAGCTGATCTCTCCATTATGAATGTTTGAAATTGTATTACCAAGGTGAGATGTGGAAGGGCAAGAATAAATATAATATATATAATACCAGAACTTGAGAGACAGAAACAACAGGATCTCAGCAAGTTTAAGACCCCCAACCATACAAATAGTGATGCTACGGTGTCCTCAAGAACCCTTCCCCAGGGCGAAAATTCCTTACCCGACTGTGAAACTTGGCAGTTCGGTATGACTTGGGTGACAGGTTGTATACTGTGTAATGGTCAAGATGTCTGGAATCCAAAAAGCTCCGGATGTCATCCACCTGATTCCTGAATCCTATGTCAACGTTGTCCAGAGGAAAGGACATCACTAGGAGAGGTCACACACAGAGAGAACAGGTTCAAACGATCTGCTGCCGGGGGGAACGGCACTGAAGAGCAGCTGATAAACATGAGACACTTACCGATAATTCTGGAGGTGACATAAGTGAAGTCTAGGTCTCCCTTTGTGTAGCTAAAAGTAAGACAGGAGGGGGCACTCATTATAGCAATCTAGCGTGACAATTTCTCTCTCCATTTAAACATCAGGAACTGGAGCACTTGCGTCCAGGAGGCATATTTTTAACTCTCTGCAATCTCTTCCCTCTACCAAGGAGGCATCATTGAGAAAAGGCAACCCGCATCCTCCAGCTACACCACCCACCTGTGCTTGCTGCCACTCTACACATGCTCCTTGATGTACTGGGTCAATCTTAGAATAAAACTGCTCTGTCTTCCCTAAAGCCAAAAGTCCCAAAGTGTCTGACCCCCTGGAACTCTCTTTCCTAATTGTGAACTGCTAAGGGGAGAGAAAGAAGAAGCTGAGAAAAAACAAAAGTCCTCTTCTCTCCTACCAACGTCTTAGATAAACAACAGAAAAAACAGGACAGGGAATCTAGACTGCTCTTCATTCTCAAGAGGGAGGGGGAATGGAGCAGGGGGAGGGGGAGGGGGAGGAGAGTGGGGGGAGGTGTGGGAGAACGGGGAGGGAAATGGGAAACAGGGAGGAGGCGGAAATTGTTTTTCAACAACTAAAAAAAAATAATAAACAATAAAAGGAATAAAAAAGAAGAAGAAACAGGAAGGTTTGCCTTTGAAGCAAGATTAAAATGCCAATCAATATATTGGATTTGGCATTTGATTTCCGATTCAAAACTGAATATTGTAACCAAAAATAAGCAAATAAATTTTTAATTCTTAAGAATATAAAAACTGCTACATTATTTATATAAGAATTTTCATATAGGGGAAGAGAAATTAACTTCCTATGCTAGGTAAATGTTGAGGGACCAGCAGGCTTCTAAAGTTCTGCTTCAGTTCCCATCCACAGACTGCCTGTGCACGGCCTATCTAATCCCCAATCCACTCAGACAAATCCTATCAGAGAGTTCATTACCGTGCCGTATGCCACATAGTTTATAAACACAGATATTGTATTAGAACCCCCAACATTTGTAAAGCTAAAGATGGTGACCATCCCATGCCAGCATACCAATGAGCTGAGTCCCACAGACTGTGCTTGTAGCCTCAAAGGGACTTAGCATTATGGTTCCAGTGCCATTTCCCTGTTGGTCAGCGTTGGTGATTATGTCACTGAGTTGACACTATGTGAGTCCAGTAAGCAGTTGGCACACAGCCAGATCCCTTGGGGAGCCCAGGTGCCACCAGCCTCACCTGCTAACAGATTGGATGACTCGAGAGGATGTGTCTTTGAGGGTGTCCTTCAAGTTGTCCTTCAGATTACTGAATAGCCTCCCGGCACCACCTTTTACCATGTCAAAAAGGCCTCCCCCATAGCTGGGCTCCATGTCTGGAGAGGAGGCACCTGAGAAGGAGAAGCAGAAGGTTAGCTTAAGACAACACTGAACCCCAGCCTCTCCTCATCCTATAACACATGCATCGTCTCTAAGAGGCTGGGACTGTCCCAGCAATTATGTACGCCTCTCAGGATTTCCGAGGTTTAGCAATGCTGCTGGGCCCCAGAGAATACAAGGCAAGTTGTCATACATAGAGTCTTAGGAACAGGGACCTCCAGAGTTACACTGCCCAATACCATGGCTGCATTCCATAGGTATTATTTGAGCGCTTGAAAGACAACTGGCCACACTGAGTAGTTCTATAAGAATATACAGCAAATTCCAAAAACTTGGCACAAAAAATAATAAAGCACCTCCATATTTTTACACTGATTACATTTGGAAATAATTCCATTTTAGAAAATATTTAACTAAATATCTAATTTTGCCCGTCTCTTTTTAATGTGAATAATAATGTTGTGGGATAATGCTCTTGCACCCTGTAAAGATTTGTCACTCATGTTGGTTTAATAAAATGCTGATTGGCCAGTAGCCAGGCAAGAAATACAGTCACGGCAACCAGACAAGGAGAATTCTGGGAAGAGGAAAGACAGAGAGTCAGTCACCACCCAGATGCAGAGGAAGCAAGATGAGAATGCCTTACTGAGAAAAGGTACCAAGCCATGTGGCTAAACATAGATAAGAATTGTGGGTTAATTTAAGTTGTAAGAGCTAGTTAGTAATAAGCCTGAGCAATAGATCAGCCAGTTTATAGTTAATATAAGCCCCTTTGTGTTTCTTTGGAACTGAACAGCTGCGGGATCAGGTGGAACAGAAACTTCCATGTACATACTAAAATTATATTTTATTGTGTTTCATTTCATCTTTTTTTTTGAAACAAAGTGTTGTCATATAGAGCAGACTAGCCTCCAGCTTGCTACCTCCCCATCTTAACCTCCTAAAGCAGGGTTACAGGTGTTCACCATCATACTTGGTTTGGAATGTATCTACATATCCTGTATTATATTCATTGTTTGAGGCTGACACAGAGAGACACCAGGAGGAAAAAAGCATGCAGCTTAGGTTGGTTCATCCAGGGCCTGCTCTGGCCTTCAGTGGACCTGACTGCTAGATCCCTCGCAGCAACAGATCCTTCCGTCATGGCTGAGAACTGCACCGTGGCCACTGCTGCGACTTATCAGGCACTTCAGTGTCTCTTCCCTTGTGACTACAGGAAATTGTACCCCCATGACTAGCTCCCGTCAGCGCTACTGATGTTTGGGTCAAGTACTTCTTTTTTGAGGTACCACCTGTACCGCGGGGTACTTAGTGGAATCCTTTGCCATTGTAGAGTCTAGGACTATCTAGAGATCCAGGAATCCTCTGGGGACTTGGAACCTAGCCTCTGCCAATGCAAGGAAGATGATTTTATTTTATCATTTGTACTGAACTCTGATAAGGTAATTTCTTTGTGTTTTCTAGTCAGAAAGTTTCTGTTTTTAATTTCAAGTACCTGCTATACTCTTATATGCTACTGGCACGTGTGTATAAATCCATGTCTACTGCCACTTTCCATTCTTGATCACGAAAACTGCGGATGCCCGAGGCACCATTAAGCATCTGTTTCCAAGTGGAGCTCTATCAGAAATCGCAGAGAACAGGCCATGCTGGGGAATACGGAAATGGACACGTGAACGAATGCAACCGTGTTCTCCACTTCCTGGACTTTCCCATCAGCACTGAACCTTTAATGGTGGTACAGCCCCTCACGGATGGAAACTGTTTATCATTTCTACTGAGAGGCAGTGAGGAAGGGTCTCAATCCAGGGCAGACCCGGAATTCACAGCGATCATCCTGCCTCAGTTTTTCACATGTTAGGATTATAGGCACAAGCCCATGGCTGGCCTACTACACAGATGTTTACACTAGGAGAGCTGGAGTCTCCAAGAAGAAGGCATTGACAGCCTCAGTTAACTAGACGAGCCAGCCATTCACACCCATGTGTGCAGTTCTAAAGTCTAAATGAGAACCAGCCACATCACACTATGCCCCAGGCCCATACCAATCCATGATTCTGCCAGCTGTGGTTAAGATGGTCCGTGTGTGTGTGTGTGTGTGTGTGTGTGTGTGTGTGTGTGTATGAGAGAGAGAGGGGGAGAGAGGGGGGGGGGAGAGAGAGAGGGAGAGAGACAGAGAGAGAGACAGAGAGAGAGACAGAGAGACTCTCCTCCCAGACAAGAAATAACCATTTTGGGGAGTTCAACTTCTCCTAATCCCAAAGGATCATCCCAGCTGAGTTTGTGGATTGTTTAGATTCTTTCTTGGAGGGTCTGGGAAGAGACCCTCACCTAAGTACTCAGCCTCCTACCTGTTACAGTACCTTTGCCTGGGGTATGGAAGAGAGTATAGAAACAGGGAAGACTAGGGGAAGAGGATTCATCTATACAACCAGAGAGAAGCTCTCATCCCTGATGAGTAAAGGTTTTCCAGGCGTGCCTGCTGGGGGACCAATACTCACAACCTTCACCTACCCACTGTAAGGAAGCACAATAAACTCCTTGGTTCTCTGCAGTGAACTTTGGAGCGATCAGGCTTCAGTTTGTTACTAGGGCCTCAGGAGGTGATAATGGGTGTTGCTTCTGTCCCCCTGAGAGGAATTTTAGCAGCTCTGCCTTGTATCCAGCCCCACTAACTGTTCCTTGATCTTCTCACCATCCTACTGTGAGCATTTTACCTGGCAGGTCAATGACGATGGCACTATTTGGAAGTGTGGCCTTGTTGAGGTCTCTTTTGCTTGAGCTTCCCTCAATGTACCTGTCAGTCAACTTCCTGTTGCCTCTGAGTCAAGATGTAGGACTCTCAGCTCCATCACCACATCGGCTCCCCACCAAGCTCCCTGCCATGATGATAATGGACTGACCCTCTGAAACTGTAAGCAAGTCCCCTCAGTTAAAGGTTTTCATTTATAGAGTTGCCGTGGCCATGGTGTCTTTTCCCAGCAATCAAAACCCAAACTAAGACACCAACCAAACTAAAGCATTGTGTGGGCACCCTGAGTGCTGGTGACCCCTCTGCCCCGCAGCTGGAGCGAAATGCTGGAACCTGGTCTAACAGCAGTGAAGATTAGTGCTACAAGCATAGGAAGGCTCTCTTGTATTCTGCTTCCTACTGTGTTAGTTCATTTTCTATTGCTGTGATAAAAACCACGAGGACCAAGGCAACTCAGAGAAGGAACGGTTTATCTGGGCTTATAGTTCCAAAGGGCAAGAGTCCACCATGGTGAGACTCACACTGAAGATAGGAAATAGGGAGAGCTAACTACAAACAGCAAGAGTGGTTGGGCACCTCAAAGCCTGCCCGCAGTGACATACTTCCTCGGGCGAGGCCACGCCTCCTGATCTTTCACCAACAGTCAACCACTGAAGATCAACTATTCAAATGTCTGTGATCTAGGGGAACATCTCATGCAAACCACTACGTATCTGAAAGAGGGCAGATGATCTCCCTTTAAGAACACGCATGTATAAAGTGTGGAATCCTGTTTTCATGTTAAATATTTTGAGACTAGAGAAGTATAAAATGCCCCCCCTCCATTTAGGCTCCAAAATACTCTGTCTAAACCCTCCTGATATACCACTTCTCAGCAGGAACATCAAGTTGATTATCTAGACATCTTGCTGACTCTCAGCTTCATGCTGGAGCAGAACACGGAGGCACAGGCCTATTAAAAGATGCGACTGCCTTTGATCATCTAAAACTTACCCTCGCTCTGCTCATTAAAAATGCTGCAGGAGCCAGGATGACTCTCCAGAGCCATTTATAACACCCATGACACTAAAGGAGAAGGGGAGCACGGTGTGATTCTTCCCTAATGGCTCATTTGGGTGGGTGTGCCAGCTTTTCTTGGTGAGCTACACTAGGTGTTAAAAGTAAAGATTCTGCAAAAGGTCTTCTTGCCTCAGCTAGTGGAAAGAAAGGGAGAGAGTTTCAAAATCTTACAGAGAAATAGCTGTACTCTGGCAGGACTGAATTCTAGCCTGTGAGCCAAATCCTGTCACTTGTCTGTCTTTATATACTCTGTGAGATTTCAATGACTTTCCTGTGTTTTAACTGTTGGGGGGGGGGGGATATCAAAAGACATACTTCATGCTAATTACATAAAGGCTGACTTCCAATGTCTCGAAGTAAATAAAATGTTATTGGAACACAGGGCAGCAGTGGTAGCTCAGAGGTGTACCACTTGCCTGGAATGCACAGGAAACAAAAGCAGAACGAGACTTTTGTGTTTATGTCTGGTCTGTGGCTGCTTCTGTGCTGCTCTGGCAGAGCTGAAGAGTTGTGACACATGACGGCCCCAGAGCCTAAGCATTTACCAGCCCTTTAAGGGAAGTTTCCCAACCTCCGCATTAGATTGTCCACCTTAAATGCTACCTGTAGGAACAGTGCTGGCCAGGGTCCTTGGAGGATCCAAGGATCTAAAAGGGTGTCAAGGTCAGGACTGAAAGTGTGTGAGAGCACCATAGAATGAGAAACATCTCCGTCTGTGCTTCAGACTCCAAGCAGACTCTTCTGGCATTTTGTCATTTTAGAACCTAACCCCCAGAAGGCAAATATCAGAACCATACCCTGCCTCCTTATTAACCAGCCCCATGTAATTCCCAAAAAATGTCAGAAGTGAGTTTTCTTGGGGATTGTTAGCATCTCGAAGAGCATCCTAGCCCTCCCGTTATGAGACCAGCGCATGGGTTGCCCAACTAGTTTCTCCTAACGCTGCTGACTGCCGCGAGCGCATCTGTCTCCCCACTGAACTGCTCACTGTCGGCTCCCTTGTCGGCATCCCCTTTCCAAGGAGGACTGGAGGCAATTCACAAGTCACTGGGAAGATGTCCAGGTGGGCCTAACTGCCTCACCGTGTGAGAAAGGCCATCTGTGATACCTGAGTCAAGGCACTGAAAAGCGCTGAGGAAAGAAATGGAAAATATGGACAAGGACATCACAGCCCAACGTGAGCACTGTCATCCCACACAT